GGGACCGAAATTCGCAAAAATAGCAAAGATATACAGAGTGTCCGCGGGAAGAATGAACAGCTGGATATCTCCTAACGTATTGGAGATAAAAAAAATATTTACATGGAATTGCATGGTTCGAGGGAGCAAATTTATTAGCGCCGACGAATTGTTTCTTCGATTATTATTTTAAAAGATACGATGGTCATGATTCGGGTTTTCAAATGAAACTATGTTTTTTTAGGGATCACTTGAGATCAGTATTGATCTGTTTTTACTTAAATTTCTCATTTTTGGATCCCATAGGAGGAGATCCAAATCTGTATCAACACTTCTTTTAATTCTTTGGTCATCGACCCATATTTACATAAAAAAAAGTTACTCATTGTTTCGAACAATCAGGGATTTCCGTGATCGGAAATTTACCACTCTTATTCTGGGTGCTTAATTCGACGGAACGACAAAATGAAAAGTAGATGTTAGATCGCGGGTCGAAACGAGACAGGCCGAATCGTCGATCAGCCGTTACGCGCTAGCGCTCGTCGCTCTCCTCTCGCCCCACTCCCCAAGGAGCAAGAGTTGCTCGGTCCACCCACGGCACTCGCGGGGTCTGGGGGGAGAGGCGCTGAGCCAGCGGCAGCGCACGCGCTGTCGATCACTCGGCGTCATTTATTGGATCTTACACGTTATGTACCGTAGACCGATGAGTTTTCATTTGTCCGTGAAAATCTCCCGTTTCAGACCGGGCTTTAAATACTAATTTCGCACCATTAACAAAGCCTGCCTTCCCTCCAGCATGTACAATTATAAGACGATGTGATGCACTGGTGTTTTTCGCAATGCCAATTATGTCCTCACTTTGCCAACACTTTCCGAAAGATAGGGTATTGTCCACCCAAGTTTCATCAATATAAATTATGTTTTTCTTCTGATTGCGGTAATATTGAAGAGCTTTTAAATATTTACCTCTCCAGGCAACAATTTGGGGCCGTTCTATTAGGACTTTCCTAATACTGATGCTTTTCTTCCATTTAAAGCCCATACTTTTTAACAATTGCCGAAGTGTATCTAATTTCCAAGGAAACTCAATTTGTTGTCTAATTGCGGCTAATAGTTTTGGGCCCACTGGGCACAATTTTCTTCTCGACGTAAAAATCGTAAATTATGTTTCTTATGACACTCCTATCTTCTTCCGAACAATGAAACTTCTTCTCAATACTTCTCGGACGTTTTTTCCCAGGAGATGAAAGATGTTCATCTTCTGTGGACTTGGAATCTTCCTTCCGGATCCTCGTCACCGTTGATACGGAAACACCGGTATAGTCCGCAATACGCGCATTGGCTTGTTTCACGGCATGCAGATATTGCCCTTTATTTGCTTCTTCGTCACACTTTCGGATTACATGCCGAATAATGTTTCGGGCCTCACTATGGACGGTTTGGCCCCTCTTTCGAGATTCCATTTCGTTTATTAAATATTTAATTTAATAAAAAGTAAAACTATAAAACTAATATTGAATAAATAAAAATGTAAAAAATGCAAAAAGTAAAAAAGGATAAATATGTATAAAGACAAAAAGTAAAAACGATAAATATGTAAAAAATGCAAAAAGTAAAAATGGATAAATATATATAAATGCAAAAAGTAGAAAAAATAAATACGTATAAATGTAAAAAACGAAATATATAAAAAATTAACTAAAATTAAAAACACGATAATAAACTAAACTAAACTAAACTAAATTGTAAAAAACACTACACTACTATAATAGAAAAAAAGAATTTAAATTAAATAATTAAAAAACGCTTTGGATAGACTCGATACGCACTGGCAGACTACTCTGGAGAAACTGTTGGTCGTTGGAAAAAGCGTTGGAAAAGCAACGTTTTTCCCACTCTTTGCTCGAATCCAGTCTAGAGAAATTATTGCCATGTGGTAAAATGAGAAGTGCAGAATAGTTGACCTGCTCATAGGGTTATTTGATGAATAGCAATCTCCCTAGGGGATCCAAAGCAAGATCTACTGGGTCTCCAGACTTTTCAGAAACAATTATACTGGAATCGCTTTTATTTTCCACGGTTTTCCTTATCGCAAAACTCTGGACATCTATCCAATAAATGTGTTGGTTTATGGGATCAAATTCTATGGAACGTACGTACTGTAGGCCTCGAATTCGAAGACCATAGTTTGGATAATTGCTATTATCAGGAAGAAACCGATAAATTGTGTTGGATAAGCTGTACATCATAAAGTTGTTTTGCGCTGTAAAAGAAATAATATATTGTTATGTTTAAATTAAATTGCAAAGCGTCGAGAAACGAATATTTCTCTTTCTTCGCTACTATCGCAGCTCCAACATAAGCATACCCTTGGATAGGAGAGACCGAAACAGATTGTAAAAAATAAAGTTCGCAGAAGTATTGTCGAAAGTGTTTCTCGGAAGTATTATCAAGTCCCGGTCTCCCCTTCCATGCTGAATGTTGATATTCAGCGTTTATGTTATAAACAGACACAACCGCCAACTGCGTGGTGCTACACACACTGTCGCGGGCGTGCACGTATGTATATTGTATACGTACAGTACGATTGTATAATAGCGAAAGTTTTCCTGCGAATATTTCAGAAACTAAGGCCGACCGCCAATTTTGTCAAAGGAAAAAGTTACTCAAAAGGTCGAGTTTAGCAACATATGTGAAGGTCATCGGCGAGGTTCCAGTTCATCGGCAATTGACTTAAAATCATTGCCAACCAATTAGAACTGTCAAAGAGAATAAATGTGACTTACCGTTACAAGAAATAACAAGTGTGAAAATGTGTTGAAGCCACATTGTCGCGGTCCGATGTTTAGCACAGTTGTTTGTAAACTGAAGCACAACCTGAGGTTGACGGGCTTCGCGTTGCGGCCCCCTGGTGGCTTGGAGCAGTGATGCCAGAATTTTTTTTTTTTTTTTTTTTTTTTTTTTTTATTGATATTAAATTACATTTACAACTAGCTTCATTGAGCTAACCAGCAAATTTGATGAACTAGAGACGTGGCATGCGTGCAGTAAACGCTCCGTAGCGTTGCCGCTTCCATTACATGTGATGTTCCTTCTTTACTTAACTCTGCAAATCGGTCGGTTTGTTCCTTTTTAGTCTTCTGTGTTGTGGTGCCTGATTTAGATCCTTGACATTGTCGTTGGGGTGATTTAATATTCGTTTCTTGTGTGCTGTCGCAAATTTTTCTATGTGTTGTTTGATATTATGTATGCTCAAATCATTATGAAGAGAGTCTGAGGTAATGTACCAAGGGGCGGCAGCAATAGTCGCTTATGATTCGTTGAATGCGAACGTATACGTCAAAATTTTACAGTCCTTTTTACTTAATAACTTTTTACAGAATAGATTCCTAAACTCAAAATTGTTATTTTTGCATGTTATTTGATACGTGCTTTCGATCCATATACAGTATTGTCTCTCTACAGGGTGTCCCGTAAATAGTGTAAGAACCGGAAATGGGGGGTAGGTAAGACGACTCTAAACAACAATTTCCTTTGCAAAAATGTCGGATGGGGCTTCGTTTTTGAATTATTAACGAAAAACACTGACCAATCACGGCGCGCGCCTTTTTTCGTATTACTCGTCAAAGCCTAAAAAAAATTGGATGGCATTTGAATGCCTTGCAGAGAACCGATGTACCTTCAGCCTCCCCAAACGGCAGATGAAGCGCATTGATGTAGAAAAAGATACAGCGAATAAAGTTTTGCCCAGATCTAATGCATCTCCGCTGTGTCGTTCGATCGAGATATGGAAATATAGCTCGATCGAACGAAGCAGCGGAGATGCACACGGTCTTGGCAATACGTTATTCGGTGTATCTTTTTTCACGGTGAAAAACCAGAGATGCCCTTCAGGGAGGGTGAAGGTACATCGGTTCTCTGCAAGGCGTTCAAATGCCATCCAATTTTTTTTAGGCTTTGACGAGTAATACGAATATATCTCGATCGAACGACACAGCGGAGATGCATTAGATCTTGGCAAAATTTTATTCGTTAATAGGAAAAGGATAATGTTTGTAAGATATCGAATGGCAAAAAATAAACTATTATTACTTCTATAAAAAATAAACTGTTTTTTATCAATCATTAATTTAAGTACACAGTCTCATTGGTATTATAAAGTTAATAGGCACGAATAGGTATGAATTTTTCTTACATAACACAAAGAAATATCGTTTGTTCCTTTTCAAAATAAAATATCAATACCGTGACAAAACGACTATATATTTCCAGAATGTTTCGGAGCTCAGAAAATTATGATTTCCTAAGAACGGAAAAATTAAAACATTGTAATACTTTCACGATCTAGGAACAAAATACACCGAACATCTTGATGTCTTTGACGACCGAGGTCTTCCCTCACCAGAGTTTGGAGAGTCGATTGTAGTACGTGATTCACTTTCATGTCTACATCTTGCGGAATAATTGCTGACCGACTCATCGGAATAATCTGTAATTTTGCAAACAGTTAGTGGTGAAGGTTGATAATTACATAAATATATTATATAAATATAGCGCTCCCTTTTGATTATATTAAGAGTTGTAATTTTATGTATAAATTTCTTTCCAATTATTCCCAGTAATAAATGTTTTTAACTTAGATTTGCAAAAACCCATGTTTAAGAATCAAAAACAGCAGTTTTTTAAATGTAAATTGAGGCTGATCATTACGTTTATGTACATATGTATCATTAGTATCTAAACATACCACTTACCAACAGAACCAAAATTATACACACTAAAATTCATTGGTACATTAAATAGAACTCACCAGAAATATTACATTTTTCAAAAGTGGACCAAAGTCTGCTGTTATTTAAGGGGGTATCCTGGTGTAGATCACCGAAAATAAAGGAATCTTTGGGAATTTATTTTAAAGAAAATATTTATTAAATCGAATTCGGAGCTATGCGGGTTTAATGGTTGTTGATTAAACTATGTAAAAATATTTTTTTTTAGTTTTAAAAAAATTATATAGCGGAAGTAGGACGGCATATGTACAGTGTCTCGGCGTCGAACGTCTGAATTTGCGGGTGCTCCTGTTCCTTTTGTACTCGTCTGAAATAAAAATACAAAATATTTCTTACTCTTTATGAACACAGTTTGTCGATGGACCTTGAAAAGTGGAAAAAACTTGAAAATTGACAAAGTGGCGGCACTTTGAAAATAAAACGCGATTTTTCGCTGGAAAATTCATTTTTGTTCATGCAATAAATATGCTTTAAATTAATTAATATATTTATTTTGTAGGTTCATCGACTAGTACGTGTAGTAAACTATATGTGTGTAAAATTGCAACCCGATTAGTCAAGTAGTTTTTGAATTATTTGACCCGCAAATCGTAAGAAAGTAGTTTCGAGAAAAACACGTTTAAAGTTTTCGGTACAGAAAAGTAGGAAAGAATGTGATTTTTGGATACTTACAGCTGTTTTCTATTAGTCTGCTATTCCAGGCCCGTATAACAATCCTTCCGCTTCTTCGAACAACTCGTTTTGCTCGATTTGCAATTGTCTTCGAGCCATTCGAGCCTCTTTGCTGCTCCATAAGCTGCGGCGCTTCTGCCTCTTCGTCCGCTTGGCATTGTAAGTGTCGGCGTACAACTTACACCGAGGTCCGATTGTTATTTCTAATGTTTCCATTATATGTAAAATGGCAGCATACCCTTCATTAAATATGCCAGCGGCTATATAGCTGGCGATTTCGATTATTTTTCGCCCCGAATGCAAATGCTTTGGCGTTAGTCGCCAAACTGTAGCATTAAAGCTTTCATTTGCATTTTGTGTATGCCCGCCTAAGCATCTTTCTAATAGGTCGTGATTAGAAAGGCTTTGATAAATGGGCAAAATATTTTTCTCGACATCTGAATGAAACGGAGGCGGGTGCTTGAAATTTTGACCTGAGGCCTGAGCGGCATGATACCCGCACCAGCTGTCTGCACCTACCGGGCAATTATCGTGCCTTGGATTTTCATCCGTCGAACATAGATGAAAATAAGTTGCCATTATGGCTTTCTCCATTTCATCAGCGGATTCAATATTCCTCCTGATTGCTAGTCCGTAGTATTTTGTTAACTTTTTCATGAGGGTGTCAGTTAGCTTCCCTCTTCCGCCAAGTTTCTTTTCTTTTTTTATATTTCGTAGCCGACTGCCCATTCGTTTTTCAACGTGGGAAACGCATTCACTTTTTGTTACTTGGAAATCGTCTCCATATAGTTTTAAATCTAAAACAGCTTTAAATGTCTTAGAGTCACCGTCGCCGATGTAGTTTCCGTATTTTACTCCATATTTTTCTTCGGATGTAGAAAACATTTCTGTGATGGAGTCAACCTCCATTTTTCCCGCCGAACCTTCATGGTTTGATGAGCACTCTTCTTTATGATCTTCATACCATTCGGCATACTCCGCTGTGGCTTCTTTTTGTCGCCAAATCGTGCATGCTTGACAGTAGCTGCTTTTGACAACGAGATCTACCACTTTGCCGCTATAGTAGCTGTTCGAGAATTAACTCTCATTTTTAGCAACACGCACGTGCCTTGTTTCTTTTCAATGTTTCGCTCATGCCGTGGCCACCACGACGCTCATTGGCAGCACCTCTCGGGCACACTTTGTGCGCGAGCAGGATAGCTGGCCCACCTGCGCGCGCAACGATCTCTCTACCGGCGGGTCGAAACCTCGTGGTGGCCACGAGTGCGGCCATTAAGTCAGTCTTGTTCGTAATCTAAAACGCGACAAGTGTGCTCTGTTTTTCAGTCTTAGTTTCCTTTGTTCTTTTGTGCCGCATATAATCTACTGTGTTCAATGTAATTAATTCACAACTAATTATCAAGGCTCACGCTCATAAATCCCTTGCAATTAATATAATTGCAAGGGTATTATGAGTTTTAAACTCGTAATAAACGGTTGATTCTCATTCTCACTCGCGCTCAGAAATGGCGATCAATAATATCGCCATTTCTCATAACCGCTCGTGTAAAACTCTTACTTAAACGTACCGCTCATTAATTATGTATTTCACAAACGGGACAATGTTGTTAATAAGGACCTTGTTTAATTAACTTTGCACCATAGTCATTTTTCGCGAACCCTCTCATAACCGGCATCTCAATGAAAATCTCTACAGTTCACTTCAATCTTAAACAGTAGCCAATTAGTGTTGTTACACCAAACAATGAAGTGAAGCCGCGTTTTTCCACGACCCATCGCCGGAAACATTTAAATTTGTTGGTGATCTTCCTTTTTTCTCGGTTTCTTCTTTTTCCTCGTGTATTGCTTTTTGGCATAAACTGTCGAATACTGTTTTCGTGGCAGTATGAATATGCCCCACCACAAGGTCGTACATGGATTTACTTAGCCCTTGCCCGATGTCCATAATGCCGCAGAATAAATTTATGCCGTCTCTACCGACGCCTAGAAGTCGCATAGCGAAAACTATTCGTCGATTGATTTCATATCCGTTATTTATGAAAGGCCCCGATGAAATTAGGCGACGGCTGCAGTGGCACAAAACAACAACTTTAAATCCGACGCCCCGAATTTTTTCTTCTTCAAATTTTATATTTTTTTTACAGTCTTTGCAAATAATTATATCTGATAGCGCACCAAAAAAACTTACGAATTCTATTATTCGATACGAAAACTTAGAAACATGGGTAATGTCGGAAGTACTCGAGGTCGATAATTTTCGAGCGGATGCACTTTCTCCCATGGGTTCATCTTCTTTTTGAAGATACTGATTCCCGTGAAACTTTCGCTTTGGAGGCTTCGATGCACGAGTATTGACGTCCCTGTTTCTTCTTGGATAGGACATTTTGATGTACAAGTCTGTACCGTCCTACCAATCGCAATTTTATCAAAGTGACTTGTAAGATCACTTCCGCGAATTACACCTTATCAAACACAATCTAATTATTTATTAAACAACAACGAGTAAAACTTAACACTATATACAAAAATACGTTGAAGATAATGTTCCGTTATGAGAATGATGTTACTTCTCAGTCGGTTTTTTGAAGATGATTGTTCTGCAGAGTCTGTCTGTCATATTTAAGGATGGAATTTCCGTTGGAAGGGGAATCAAAATTTGGGGATGTCAGTAGGTATATAAGGGGAGTTCTGAGCCATGGTCCCAGAGAATCGAGGGCCAGGGGGGAGTGGGGTGGGGGGCCCGACCGTTGGGGGAGCGCTGTGGGGGGGGGTCGGTAATTATTTCGGTAATTAGTATCAACGGTTGGTAATTAGGTGGGTAATTGGTATCAATGGTTGGTAATTGTCAGAAAGAGATAATTGTCAGATGTCGGTAAAAGGGGGGAAAGAAATTAGATGTCTTTTTACTATTTTTTTTATAAAATTTATATATTTAATCTTTTATTACAATTCAGTGAGAGTATAAATTATGTAATTACAAAATTAGATATATTTTTTATTTAATTATTAATAGCATCGTATAACATATTATCCACTGCAAATGTCAACAGCTCGCAATCCGCAGGAGAATTTTTATCATAATATTCACGAAGGATTTTGACGGCCTCATGTTTATGCGCAATACTGTTCCGTTTTAATATAGTTACAAATTGTTTATATTTCTCGCTGACATAGTGCGTATTTTGACACAGCCACGAATACGCGTGCTCGACACACAGTTCCAGTTCGAATAAAAATAATACAGTCGATGGTTTCATATACATGCAGGCATCATACAATTTCATTTGCACAAGGTTCATGCCACGCATTGTAACCACCGTAAGCACCAAATCACAAATCGTTAATGACGTTGGAGAAGGAGCTGATTTTACATGTTGTTCGATATCCTCGCGTTTCTGGATCAATGTTGTCCATGTCGAGTGTGGCAACAACAACACATTTCCTCGAGTATCGCCAAGAATAATTTCCACAGCGGACACAGGTCCTACCGCGATTCTAATATCCAGGTACTTGTATGCCGTGGATGTGAGGGCAAACCTCCTCCCCAGTATATAAGGCGTCGAACGTTGTTTATTGCTATCGTAACATATAGAAAAAGTATGTAAAGAATGAAAGGTAAGTAATAACGCTAAGGAAATGATGATAATAACACTTACTCGCGACTTATGCACACCGTTTCGCGAGAAATGTAGTAATTCATGTTTGTAGAATCCATAACGTTTCACGACGACGGCGACGACGATACTATCAAAACGAGTGTGCAGCACATAAAAAAAATGTAACGATGCATCAAGGGCAGCGAGGTGCGGGGAGAGGAATTTTTATGTCACGTGTTCTTCTGCGAAAAGTGCAACTTTTGCAAAAGCGTTTTTTAGATTACCTTGAGCACGTCCAAACGTGCAAATTCTATGACATCACATTCGCGGTACGAATCGACCGAAATCATGTGTATCATGCGAAGCGGGTGGGGCATAGTGCGGGGGGGAGAGGAATTTTTGATGTCACGTGTTCTTCTGCGAAAAGTGCAATGTTTGCAAATACCTTTTATATTACCATGAACACGTGCAAAAATGCAACCTCAGCAGAACGTATAACATTGACGAGCATTATCGGCGCGGGAAAAGAAATTAGATGCCTTTAAAATATGATATATTTATTAAAGCAAGAAATGATTATAAAACATTACTTTTATGGATTCATGAATTGTGCGAGTTATTGAGTCCTAGCCATTTTACGTACACACTGTTCCCCTTCTTACGTAATACTTTTTCAACCAGATACACGTCGGAATTAGCAACTCGTTGCAACTCGTGTTCGTAGAATCCTCCGGCAATTAGTTTTTCATAAGCATCTTTCAGCAGATACGTTGCAGGATTAGTTTTCTGTACCTCGGCGATTGTAAATATTTCAGTGCTCCAATTCGGTGTGTAACCTTTTTCAAAAATTGTCTTAAATTTGCTCACGCGTACCGCATCTCCCACTTTGAATCGTGCGGGAGCGCCAATCTTTACGTGACTATACACCGTTGTTAAGAGCTTAGCGGCGTTTGTTGATGTAACGTCAATTGGTCGCATACCAATAGTTCGATGCTTTCGCGCGTTGTACTTTGATACGAGATGTTGAATCGAGTCGATCCATTTGTAATTTCCATTAAGGGTAAACATTTTCCACATGTTGTTTTTGAGCGTACGATTAAACCGCTCAACGACTGATGCTTTCATCACTGAATACGTTGAATAATGATTTATGCTGTATTTTGACAAAAGTTTTTGCACATTTGCGTTGTAAAATTCCTTTCCTTTGTCGGTCTGCAAATTTTTCGGATACCTTCCGCGGAAGGTCGGAATTCGATAATACCCCTCTCCAATTGATTCAGCTGGTCTTTCAAGCTCTGAACATAATCTTGAAATATGATCATCTTCTTGTCGAATTCATCTTGTCGATTTTTTATAATTGTCATGTTTTCTTGCAAGTACAGCTTGTTGATAGCATCGCCATCCTCTACAGGTGGTGCTACCCGTCGAATCTTGCGCGACTTTGCATCGTAATTGGCACCAGCAATACAAAGAGCATTGTCACGTACATAATTTCTGACTACTCCATTCCAGCGATAGTATGATTCCACTGTTCCAAACGATGACCCAAACTTGTTGATTGGCATTTTGATATCGATTGACAGCATCGTCAAAAGTGCAGGTTAATTTATAATGAGTTCTGCCTCGCGAAGCTCCTCGATAATCGATAACATCTCATTGTTATGTGCATTGTGACCGGCTTGACGCGAAGCCTCGAGCAGTCGAAGCCGATCTACGAGTTCGTTGGGATCGTTCCAATGAACATAATCAATCTTGTTGCTAGTTAATCTCATGGAGCTTGGTATGCCCTTTCCAACTTTTTTATCTTTCAATAATGGCTTGATTACATAGTTATACTTGTATCCTTTATTACCTAATGTTTTACCATATGAATCATGTTTGTACTTATGCGCACTCGTGGTCAGCAGTATGTCCCTATATTTATGTTCATCAGCCTCAGTATAAATGTTGTCATCTGGAATTTTCTTAAATATCAATTCATAAAGGCCGGGCGTACCAGAATATCGTATGCCATCGATAATTATGTTATCGGCATTGTCCACGTCAACACGTTTATTACCAAGCATCGGCCCATCACTGTCGAGATAAACACCGTACACATGATCCATACCATCCTTCACATCACCGCGTAATACAGGCGCGATGTATTTTTGACTCAGTGGACCTAGGTGATTCCGCAACGTTTCTTCACCTTCCGACGTTTGCAGCCGACTTCGAACAGACGTCGAGAAACTGCTTTTTGGACTTTCAAAAACATCTTCGTTTGCTAAGCTTTTTGGACTATCAAAAGCATCTTCGTTTGCTAAGCTTCTTGTTGCCGGTACTGGCTTAATCGGTATAGAGGTCATCAGATTCATATCGGGTAAACTGCTTAATCTTACTGAGCTTTTTATTGTTGGTACTGTCCTAATCGATGTAGAGACCGGTGTAGAGGTCATCGGATTCACGTCGAGTAAACTGCTTAATCTAGGTTTTTTTATTTGTGATGGTTTTGGAAGATTTAGCCATAAATGTGATTGTGTTTTATCCGATTCCTTGATATTTGACGTGAACAATGGCTCGCTTCCGATATCTATATTATTGTAAACATCATAATTTTTTAACGTGTTGTTGGCAATTGCCTTCAGCGGCTCAGTAACAGGCTTAAAGTGTTTTTCCAGTGCAATCTCTTCCTCCATTTTACCGGTTTTCAATTCACGATACTTTCTACGAATCACATCGCTCGTTTTTGCAATCTGTTTCGCTATCCTTTCACGATCTTCAATATTGCTGCTGCTCATGTTGGAACACTGCTTTGTCAACGTATAGGAAGTAACTGGACATGTTACGATATTGCAAAATCATTAAATCCTTTTCTATAGCGACCATTCCATAATGCACTGTCTTTATCAATCACTACAAATCCATATTTTTCTTGCCAACAGGTGGTACACAATGTGCAGAAATTCTCAAATGACATGTCGGTGTTTACATGATCGTTGTACACATGTTTCAGATTAGTACCATCTTGTTTGAACATGATCAGCAGGTTCGCGTTGTCGCGTATCAGATGCTTCGGTATTTTCGCGTATGTTTGACAAAGATAGAAACAGTCAACGTCCGAGTGCCTACCCATTGCAAAGTATTCTCTTACCGTGTTTTGCTTATCGCATGCCACATCATCAAAGATAAAAATGGAATTCGGAAGTGCCTCGCTCGGCGGAACGACGTCGCTGTTATTCGAAAATGTAAAATAACCAATTTCGTCTATCGATGAGAATATATTTTCTAAATATTGATATTTCGGTTGTTGTAACGATTTCGAGTACATGTATATGTTTTCGAAACGAACGCCGTACGGACTTTCTAACAAACTAATCAACACGTTCGTTTTACCACAATTCGATGGACCGCAGATTATACCGCGTATAGAGGTCGGCAGCATATTTCCATGTTTGCGCACCTCTTTCTCAGACTGTGTCTTTTTGTCTACATTAGTCACTTTGATCATAGGTGATTGGCGTATGAACTGCATATTTTATCGAGGTGCTATACGAATGAAGATCCAATCGAGAGAGCTGGTCTATTTATAGCGATGCATAGAGCTGGAACGATCAGTGTTCAAATATAGCCTGTCGAGTCAGCAGAATGCACATTGGCAGTTCACCACCATTGATAAACAACTGTGGCGAATGTCAACAAAAATTGGAAAAGGTCTATTAAATCGTGTTATAAACACACTTCCGATTGAATTACATATTCCAGGTTATCAGTATTGTGGTCCTGGGACACATTTAGAGAAACGCTTGGCGCGAGGCGATCAAGGTATAAATCCGCTGGATGTCGCGTGCCGCGAGCATGATATAGCGTATTCACAAAATAACGATCTCGGAAAACGACACGCGGCCGACAACATCCTAGCAGCGAAAGCGCGAGAACGCATTACCGCGAGAGATTCCAGTCTCGGGGAAAAGGCTGCCGCTACAACCGTTTGGGCGGCTATGAAGGCTAAGACAAAATTCGGTATGGGTTTGAAAAAGAAAAAGAAGAGTGGTTCGAAGAAACGAATACTTCCAATGGCAAAACGTGGCGGTATCCTACCGATTTTACCATTATTGGGGGTTCTCGGCTCATTGGTCGGAGGGGCGGCAGGAGTCGCGAAGGCTGTGAACGATAAGAAGGCAATGCAGCGTCAGCTGGAAGAAATGAAACGTCACAATCTCGCCATGGAAGGTCATGGACTTTATCTCGCGCCGTACAAACGCGGGCGGGGAGTCTCAAAGAGAAAAAAAAAAACGTCAAAATTAAAATGCCTGAAGGCGTAACCACCAACATACAACTACAGCAACTCGCAAAGCGCATGCGTATTCCATATTTCAGAGGTATTTTTATGCGCAATACTTTACCAACAGATGGGGTATGCAGGAATGATAACAAAATTACCCCTCGAATACATGCGGTTGTGGCATAGCCTACAGGTGGCTAGGGCATGGGCCCGTGCATAGCCCGCCACTAGCAGATGCACGGGCTCTCTTATGTATTCCGCAGCTTCCCGTGGCGGAAGTGTATGAAAACACCCCTCGCATATTCGAACTCCCTCATCGGTGTCTTTCCAACACATGCCTCCTCGCAAACAGGTGCGTTGTCTGATGAGGTGGTATACATCTGTAGGCAGCATCGCCTCCGCATATGTATTGCTGATGTGTCGATCATCATAGGTGGCGATTCCAGCTGTGGGGATGAGAATGATCATATTAGAATATTAGGTTGGACTATTTTGATAAAAAATAAATTCTATCTGCTTACATACCGAGGTCCCATCTATCTGCAACCATTTTCACTTCTCACTTGTATTACTTTTACGTTTTTCACAGATACACTTTTGAAAATGACGCGGGCTGGTTGTACAACGGTTTATATAGTAAATTATTCAGGTGGGGGGAGGACTTGGTCTTCTTAGGAACAGCGGTGACACTCGCTTGTATCTGCTAACGTTAGTAGAATTGCATGCTCCAAGCTTCCCCCACAGCATTCTGCAAATTTTGCGTTCTTCGCAATCGAGAGCATCATCGCGAGATAATGTTACCGAGGTCTGTGTTTGAGTTACAAAACATATGTATACTGGTGCGCCTAAGACGGTATTTTATAATGCCCCCATGGTAAGGTCTCGGTTGAATATGGTACAATATATCGTTTGTCGTCGTGTGGACTCAGAGCAATTTTTGTTTCTGATATCGTGTACACTTCATGCAACGTGGATCTTATACACGATTGGTGGCAAATCTTTTCAACCTCGCCCATCAAACATTGCACATAATCATCGTATGTTATAGTTCGTGCTACAACATTACTCTTGACACCTTTCACCTTCTTCGTATCGTTCTTGCCATCGACTTGCATGGCGTACATCTTTGCTCTCAGTCCAACAAATTCGGTCATAATCGCACCATTATTTTCGTCTTTCATTAAACCTGGTATCTTCTTATTGACAAGCGGAATACCATATCGATTATCTGATGGATAATCGCTCGTGTCAAATCGAGCAATGTCTCGTATCATAAGTTCATAAATATTGTCACACTCGATGTGATAAATTAAACTGTCTGTATCGGTATACATCATTTTACATTTATCGCTATGTGTGGGTAACATGTAGTCGTGATGGAATTCATACAAACAAACCTTAGATATATCTAGTATACACATACCCACATAGATTGGTTTGTTCAATTTTACGGACAGTTTGCGCAGCTCGATTGCAACTAAGTTTTCCGAAAATATGCTGCGACTGTGAAAATTTGGTTTAGCGATCAATGCCGCCGCACCATATCTCCCTTCCCATTTTGTTACTAATTTTACATCTACATGATTGCGCACATTCTCCATAGTTTTACCAAACACTGCATTGTTCATTAACTTGTATAAATTTTTCTCAAAATCATTTGTGGCAAGAGTTCTAAACTTTGTATTTAGTTCGATGTAATCGCGAAGCCATGGCGATTGTGAAAACTGTAATACGCGGTGAACTTCAGTTACGCGAAGGCCGTGACGAATACATTGCTGCAGATTGCGGTAATGTATTACGTAACGATTCTTATCGTATAGAGTTGCGAGGAGCTTTTCCTGGCGCTTGCCGGGCGGTTTATCGCGCGTTGGGCAGAACGGTAAATCTGTGTGTGCATCATGCAGATGTTGTGGATACTCCAGATCGACTTCCAAAATATACCCCATCGTTGAGTCTAACGCTATGGCCATTACATCTATATCTTTGTTGTTGACCCACTGAAAATTGGCGTATGGCAATGGTTGACACATTGCCCAGCCGTACAAATTATTTACATCGAAATACATTAAATATGACGACGGTTGCGATGCATCGTACGACTGCATGTACTTGTTGTTGGCTCGTGCGCGTCTGTTGGAACATTGACTTAAACCACCGCGTATACCACGTTCGATGAATAGGACCATGTCGATATCGGTAAGAAGTTCGAAATTGATACGTGTATGCTTCAGCATGGCATCCCACGTAAAACCTGGCAGAGTATAATAGTGCGCGGGATCGAGTCCGTAACTTGTGACGCAACTATTGCGAAAATTTTCAAAAATATCTGCCAACAGCAAGACATCAGTCTTTAGATACAAATCGCTATACTCGCCGAGCGTTTGAATGGAGAACCGCGTCCACACGTTGACGGCGTGTTCGTAGTCATTTTCGGATACTGTATCGCCAGTCAAGGAACTGTAAAATGAATTGCGCGATGGCAAACATGATTGCTCCAACTTTTCGACACAGTCAATGTACTCGTACGGGAACACCCCTTTCCGTGTCAATAAATCAAAATCTTCCGTAGATAATTTTTGAAACTCAGACCGTGTAATTTGAAGTTTATCTTTACTAAGAAAAGATGCCAATTTCTCGAGACTTGTATTTAAAAATTTAAACGAATCGATGAATTGCAATTTTATGCGCTTGCGCGAGTTCCATTCTTCATCCGTGCATTCAATGTATTTTGTAAATGAAATGTACTTCTCTTTTGTTATCGGCAATACAGTGACGTCGCCCTCAAATGCCGTGGCTATCTCCTTGATAATAAAATGTGAATCATAACCGGATAAATTGTGAAAAACCACGGGGATGACAAATGCGTCTTTATAATTTAGATTGTGATTTGAATGTGCGGGGCCTCTGTACCGACCGGTCAAATGACAATGATCGCGTACCCGTTTGTCATCTTGTGCAAACGGTCTTTCACATATGTGACAGTGTGCTGCAGTATTAAAATTTTGCAATTGTTCAGTTGATAAATTTTCCATGGGTACATTGGTCGATAAAATGGACTTTACACGATGCGACAAATCTTTGAGTTGTCTCACAAACCATGACACGCAGTCAGGATCGCGACGATATTGAAACGTAGATAACGAGTCGTCGTACGAGCACCGCACATAGTATCCCACACTAAATACACGATGATGCTGATATGTGTATCTTGGCGCTTCTCGATCAGTATCCGTTTTCTCCAGGATGCATTCCAGATCGGCATACACGATAAACGGAACACGCTCTTTCCTGCTGTAGTTGCTGAAGCTGAGCCACTTCCTACC